ATCACACACCTTCACACCCTCGCGTGCACTCACACGCGCGCAGGCACCTGCAGCGGCACCTGCCCCATCCCTCCCTCCATAGGAGGTGGGGCGCCCCCAGCCCATGTCCCCACCTCCCCACACTGTGCCCCTCCAGGCAGGGCCATGCGGGGCTCCCCCAGCCAGTCCTGGGGCACCAGGCGCCGGCTCCCAGCTCTGACACCACAGCCACTTGCCAGGACGCCCGCACAGCCACCACCTGACTGCAGGCAACACCACTGGCCCTGCGCTTTGGATGCTGAGACCCGCCTGGCCACCGGGGCCACAGAGCCAGAGCACAGGGAACTCAACCCTGCGGCAGGGGTGGGGGAAGCGCGGGGCCAGAAGACGGGCCACACAGGGCAGGGCAGCTCCTTCCTGCCGTCGGCCCCCTGCTCCCAGGCCCCACACACTGCTCAGGAACAAGGGACAAGAGTGACAAGTGGCCATCGTGGGTTGGGGTCACTCTGGGGACACGGGCTGCTGCCACAGGATCGGGCACAGAATCACACCTGGGCAAGCAGGTGGAGACAGCGTCCATCCGAGGCAGGACCTGCAAGCCCTATGGCCAGAGGCGTCCACGAGGGTGGACCGCCCCCCACCCAGGCTCGCCCGCCAGTGCCCCCGGGACAGGCGTGTTGCGTGTGTGTGAGGCCCGGAGGGGGTCCCGCAGTCTCTGTGTGTCCCTGTCTGAGGGCTGACGCCCACCCCAGTCAACTGCCACACTCAAGGTGGGAATGGGGTGCTTGGGTGAGCAGGGTCACTCACATCACACAGTGCCGAAGGGAGACATGCAAGGCGAGGGGCAGGCGGGGCCAGGCAGAGTCCCCAGCCGCTCCCCTGGGTCGGGCCGTGAGCACCGGGCGGGGTGGGGGGCGTCCTAGATGACAGCGCTCTTCTCCTCCTGGAAGGAGGCCCGGGGGGTCGGCCTGGCCAGGAGCAGCTCCTTCTCGTGGACCAGGTTGTCCAGCAGGTCCTCCTGGCGGTAGTTGTGGTAGACTTTCAGGAAAGCCAGGATGGTGATGGCCAGCCAGGCCAGCCACGAGGCCCAGAGGCCAAACTACACAGAGGGCGGAGGTGAGGTCAGGAGGCCAGCCAGACCCACCATCCACTGCCCAGTGCACCCACCCACCTGCCCCCGGGAAAGGTGGGACCCACTTTGGGGACAGGTCAGGGGCTAGCTATGGGGCCCAACATGCGGCCCGCCTTGCCTCCTTCTTCACACAACCATCCCTTCCTGGTATGTGGCGGCCAGGCCTCTGAACCCCAAGCTGGGCAATGCTTTCGGGGACTCTGACCACCCTCACCCCCAGGCAGGCAGGCCCGCCCAGCTCCACGGAGAGCCCGTCTATAACACAGCCTCCTCCAGCCACTGGAACAAACTGACCTTTAGCTGCCGTTACCAAACAGCTGAAGCAGAAACAATTTAATCAGAACCAGGCCCAAGCCACACTAAACAGATTCTCATTGGGGGTTATTTATCACCAGACTCAGCTCACACCTTTGTAATCTAATTGGCGCAAATTAGGGCTGAAGCATTTTCCACTGAATTTTCGTGAAGCTGTCTCTGGCAGTTTCAGCTCATCTCGGCAAAGAACCTTCAGACCCACCGGATGTCCAGCCCCTAGAGGGCTCCTCTCCGTCGGAAGAGTCCTCAGACCGGTCACTGGCCAACGTGAGCCCTGAGAGGCGGGCCTGGGGTCCAGAAATGGACCTGGATGCCAGCAAGCCCTGCTCAGTGCTGGAAGGAGCCAGCCCCACCTGGGTACCCCTCACCAGTGACATCTGCCTGGACACAGATGCAGATTTTGGGAAACAGCCCTTACTGACCACTAACAAATCCTAACACGCCTGCATCCCAGCAAACGGGGTCCCCAGAGATGCACCTGGAGGGCAGGGAACGAAGCTCACACAAGGGCAGGGCAGGGAGAGGAGCTGTCCCCCCAAAGCAGTTGGGGGTGGGCTCCTCCAAATTCACAGGCTGGATCCCCCCACACCCTCCCTCAGACACCGCATCAGTTTCCCCTGGCCAGGGAATAACCGCGAGCCCTCCAGCATTTACCAGAGCGTGCCCACTTGGTGCCAGGAGTCCAAGCTCCCTGCCTTGGCTGCAGACCCAGGATCAGATGCCTAGTGTCCTTTCCACCTGGGACAGAGCCACTCCCTCAGCCCCTGGACCTCACGTCTGCAGTTAGCTCACCTGTCCGCTCCTCCTAGGATGCCCCATGCCTCACCCCTCTCCACATCCACCTGCAAGAGCCCCCACTAAGTCTCCGAAACCCAGGAATACCACTCACTCAGCTGTATCTCCTCTGCCTGGCACCATCCTCAACCTCCCCTGGATGAGGGCTTTGGGAGGCAGGCTGTGCACTCAAGTGAACGTTCAGCAGTGAATGGATCCCTCCCCAACAATGCATGCTTCCCGGTCTACCTGGCAGCCCCTCCCACCAGAAGAGCCCTCCCACCTGGACAGCTCCCTTCCTACCAGAACAGCCCTGCCTACCGGGGCAGCGCCTCCTACCTGGCAGCCCCTCCCACCAGAACGACCACGCCTACCTGGGCAGCCCCGCCTGCTGGCAGCCCCTCCCACCAGAAAGACCACGCCTACCTGGGCAGCCCCGCCTGCTGGCAGCCCCTCCCACCAGAAAGACCACGCCTATCTGGGCAGCCCCGCCTATCTAGCCCCTCTGCCTACCTGGGCGATGGCAAACTGGTCATAGAAGGCAGAGTTGTCCACGCTCAGCTCCAAATTGATGTTCTGGAGCTCTTCACAGCTGAAACAGCAAGACACAGGGTGGCAGGTGACACTGCGACACGGAGCACAGGGAGTGACACGCAGCACCCCCAAACGGTGAGGCAGCTCTCCGGGCCCCAAAGGCCTCATCCCTGACCCCCTCCAACCAAAAGCTTCTGCTCGTGCTCCTCCCCATCCCTATCGCCGTCTTCCAAACCCTCCAGGAGCTGACTCAGCTCAGAACTCCGCAGCCCACCTCCAAAGCAGCACAGGGTGGGATCTCCCGGGCCTTGCCGTGCGGTCATATCAGGCCTCCAGGACCCAGAGCACACTGGGCCTCCGTCCCCCAGCCCGGATCCAGAGCCCTACTCCCATGTGAAGGGGGCACTGAGGTCAAGGGGGCAGGTCCAGGGGAAGGCGCTGGTCAGGTGTGCACAGGTGGGAGCCCCAGGCAGGATGAACAAAACCTCGGGCTGGGCTCGGAATGGGATTCGTGCCCCAGGATGTCACCGGGGGGCAGCAGGGGTGGGGCAGGGCGCAGGCCCACCTGTGGGGCACAGTGCCCTTCTCCGTGATGGCATCACACCACATAGTGAAGCCCACGCTCACGATGGTGCTGGCGATGAAGACGAGGAAGACCACGGAGGCGCTGACCAGGAGGTTCAGGAAGGCGTAGAGGAAGGAGCTTCGGCAAAGGACAAAAGAGGACGATCACCGTGCGCACCGCTGGGATGTTGGTGCCAGGGGACAGCGGGGGCTGGGCCCGGCTGGGGCAAGGGGGCCATGCAGGGCCGCCAGGGCCACTTTCGCCTCCCTCACTGCCCCTCACCCCGAAGTCCCATCCCAGCCTCCCGGAGGCCTGGAGGGAGAGCACTTGTCAGCCCGGCCTTGCAGAGGGGAGGCAGAGCCGAGATCTGACCCCAGGGGTGCTGGCTTCCAGCGCATCCGCGCTCTTCCCGGGCCATTCCCCCACTCAGCTGCCCTGGGGCCCTGTGCCCTCAAGGTCATCAACACCGCTGGCCCGGACCTGCATCAGGGGCTTGCGGAGTCACCCTGCTCGCATCTGTCCACTGAAGCCTAAAAGGCCCAGCTGTGACGGGGAGGGGGCACAGGAGGCAGGGCCACGAGGACGGAGCTCGCTCTGGGTCCGCACAGACATGGCCCCACTGGGGGCTCCTCCATCCTCCGCCCGAGGGGCCGGCCCAAGGAGACCATGGCAGTGACCCCTCTCCTGGGCTCCTGGCTGGGCTCAACCAGTGCGGACCCGGCAAGGGACTGGCAGTGGAAATTCTCCTTCCAGGCCCCTGCTGGGGATGCCCCCGGTCGGCTGTCCCTCTACCAAAGGTCAGCAGCCCCTCCAGGCGGCCGCTTCCACCCAAGCCTCCCCTACATGGTCCCCGTGACCAGAGGAGGTGACAGGGCCGTTGCAGGGCCCACACCTGGCCCACATCCTCATCTCTGCCAATCGCCCTCCTCGGGTTATCCTCACTTGGGTGAGCCATCCGATTCCAGCAGGGATCCTGACGGCAAAATTCACCTGGCCCTGGGCACTCTGAATCAGAGGTCGGGGCCTACAGTCATAAAGAGGGGTACGTGATGGCCCATCCCACCTCCGAGGCTGTCACCAGACAGAGCAGCCTGTCAAATCTGTCCTGCCTCTTTCCCAGCTGCGTGACCTTCAGCAAGTTGCCCTCTGGGCCTCAATTTCTCCCTCTGTAAATTTGGGAGCAGGAGCCCCCCACAGGGTCATTGTGGAAACTGAGGGAGCTTATGTGGGCAAGGGACAGACAGCGATAACTTCAGGGGTGCTGCTCCCTCCCCAGGACAGGCCTCCACCCATCGCTGGAACCCTGACCTGCGGGGGCCGGAGCTGTGTGCCTGCATGGGGCTGGGCCTGTGGCCACAGGAGATGGAAGCGTGGGTGGGGCAGGAAGCGTGGGGGCGGGGTCAGCAACCAGATACCTGGAGACTGGGCCTGGGAGCCAGCTGTGCCCCCTGCAATCAGCGTGGGGCTAGGCAGTGTGCAGGGGAGTCCACTCCCTGGAGCTAATGCTCTAAGGGAAGCAGAGGTTACCCAGAGCCTACACCCTGACTTTGGATGCCCCCCCACTCCAGCTGAGGAGAACGGGGTGGTCCCAGGGGGACCAGGACGGAGCTTCCACAGGCAAAGCAAAGAAGCTGCCTGCCCTCAGCACAGAAGGCCAGATCACCGGGACAGAGGCTCCCTGGGTGCCCTCCATCTGCCAACACCGCTGTCCCACCAGGCACCCTGCCCAGCAGGTGCCCAGCATCCTGGACGAGCAGCTGCTGCCCCCAGGAGGCCCTCTTAGAGGGAGGAAGGATGCCCAGGGTGCAGAGGACATGCTGACTGGGCAACCACCACCCTCAACTCCTGCCCCCTCTCATGGGAGCGGGCGGCATGCCCCACGTTCTGTACTTAATTCTAGAGAGGCACACCAGCGGCTTGCTGTTCCATGTGTGGCCAGAAGCCCCCTCGGGGAACCCCCTGAGACACACGCCCCCCACCCCCATCCCGACACCTGCCCCTCCCGCCCTCAGCGGGGTTTACAACACAACCTCCCATAGCCAGGAGACCCGACTGTCTGCAGGCTCCAGCTGCATCCTATTACACAGGCAAGATTTGGGGTTCTCCTCCCATGACAGGAACATGGCGTCCCCATCCCATCCCCCCAACAGCCTCCTCCTATTCCCCAAGTCCATTTCTGGTCCGTTTCCATGGAACCTGCCTGGGCTTCACAGAGTTTTAAAGAATTGGGAGTGTTCAGAGCCTCACTGGGCCCGGACCCCAGAGTCCCCAATGCCAACCCCCTCCCCGCTCCCCAAAGACCCACAGGGCAGCGGCCAAACAACCAGGAAGGCCGGCACACACAGGGTTAACTCCATCCGTCTCGCTGCCTCTCAGGGTGCCGGCCTGGATGTGCCGTCTCCATGGTGACCGCTATCCCGGGAAGCCCTGGGAGCGATTTGTAGGCTGCGGGACACGTGTGGGCAGACAGATGGGTTGTTTTGACCCGGCGCTGCCCAGCCGTCAATCACAAACCTGTCAACCGCAAACTGCGACCACCTGCACACTCCAAGGGCTCAGCACACTCAGGCCTGTGACCCACCCTCAGGTCGCCCATGCGCCCCCAGCCAGAAGCACCCCAGGAAGCCACAGGCGCCACCGAATCACACACCCATTCCTTTCGCCCTGTCCACGGCTGGGCACAAGCTGTCCGGGCCCCACTTTGCCCAGGGACACACCCTGGAGGGAGCCAGAACCACAGACAGGGTCTGACCCAGGCGCTGGGGACCCAGCTGGGAGCCCGTCACACAGACCAAAGGGTCGGGCTCTGCCCTCACTCTTGGCCGGGCTCCTGGCTGGTCTCTGCAGCTGGATGCAAGAGAATTAGTGGGTAGGGCCCTCTAGAACTCCAAGTCGGACAGCATGTCCCTGATGGGCTGGACACCCTGAGGGCCCTCGCCGTCCCTCAAGCTCGCTCTAACAGTCCTTCTGAGCCTCCTGTCGGTCCCGAGCCCCACTGACCCAGCACTTGCTTGTCTGCTCCACGAGGTCTGCCCAGCTGCTGAGCTGGGAGCGGGGGGCAGTCGGCGGGGGTGGGCTGTGAGGCAGCAGACCCCACATGCAGGCATTTTTCTGTCTTCATTCGACAAACACTAATTTGTGACTCCCAAGCTCAGCCCTGCGCACGCAGAGAGAAATGAAGTGCACGCCTGCCTTGGGTTCATCCAGCCCAGGGTCTCCTCAGATGGTGGGTCACCCCGGATACCCAGGGGAGCTCTGGCCCAGTCCTACCACCAGACCAAGATGAAGGGTTGGCACCTTGACAGATGGCACAGCTGGCTGGCTGCCGAGGGCACCTTGTCCCGATAAGACAACTGGCCTTGGGGTGTTCAGGGTCTAGCAGGTGAGGACCAGGAAGCAGCTCTCTGGGTAGGGCTCAGCCTCCGTGGCTCAGCGATGCGGGATCCCGGAGCCCCAAGAGACCCCTAGAGACTGGGAGCAGAGCAGTGAGAGCTGAGAGGCCCAGAGCCTTCGAGAAAGGAGTCCTGGTCATTTCGCACAAATTGGGCAGCAAATCTGGGGAGGTCAGCAATAGTGGTTTCTGTCCTCTCATCTTAAGGCTGTAAGATGTGGTCTCTTGAGGAGACTTGTCTTATAGGGACAAGGTGGAATGATGGGCATGAGCTGATGGCCAAACCATGGCTCCCGCACAGCCTGTGCCCACTGCCCTCAGCTTCCCAGACCGAAGGGACCTCAGCTACCCTATGCTGCTGACTGTCCCTCCTTTTCCTCAGACCTTGTCTCATATTTGGAGATGCTTCCCTGCCCCAATCTGCACAGACACTGACCAGACTTGACAATGTGCACGCAACGTGATGACATCTCAAACACCTCCTGGGGACACCAGCCATCGTTGTGGGAAGGAGGAGGTCTGTGGCAGGGCAGGATGGCCCCCTGACCAGCCTGGGCTCACCGTAGGCTGAGCCCCAGCCCCACAGCACCTGGAGGCCCCCAGGCTGACACGTGGCTTCCTGCAGACTCTCAATCCAGAACCTTGGTGTAGTGTGCTGAACTGTGCCCACGACAACACGTGTCCGAGGCTGCACCCCAGTACAGAGTGACAAAGCCCCAAGCCAAGGAATGTCAAGGGTTGCAGGCAGCTACCAGGAGCAAGCCTAGAAAGGATTCTCCCTCCCAAGGGAACCCACCCTGCCAACACCTTCATCTCCAACTTCTGGCCTCCAGGACTGTGGCAGAATAAATTGTGGCACTTTGTGAGAGAAGCCCCGGAAACTCATACACGTGCGTTGCTGGACTTTACCCCCTCTGGGTGTTTCAGTCCCCACGCTGGGTTGTTCCGGTCCTCTTCACCCTGCCAACCCTGTTAATCCCCTCTGTCCATGCCCAAGCCAAGCTGAGGGCTCTCAGGGGTCCCCACCTGACCCTCCAACCCACTGAGACCTCAGAGCAATAGCTTATCTCTCAGGTCCCCAAAAGAAGAGAAAAGCCCCCTAAAAAATACCAACAAATAATGGATGGGGGCATGAGTGGGGCGGGGTTTGGGAGAAGGCTGGATTTCCCCTGTGGATGTGAGGCCAGCAAGGGCCAGGAGCGGCTTTGTCACTCTTACCACAGTCTCTGTCTTCACGCAGCCTCTCCTCTCTCCGTTTCTTCCCCTCTTCTTATAAAGACACCAGTCATTGGATTTAGGGCCCACCCTAAATCCAGGATGACCTCATCCTGAGATCTTTAGCTGAATGACACCTGCAAAGACCCCATCCCCAGTTAAGGTCACACACACCTGTCCTGGGGTGCAGCCTCGGACACGTGTTGTCGTGGGCACAGTTCAGCACACTACACCAAGGTTCTGGATTGAGAGTCTGCAGGAAGCCACGTGTCAGCCTGGGGGGCCTCCAGGTGCTGTGGGGCTGGGGTTCAGCCTAGGATGAGCCCAGGCCGGTCAGGGGGCCATCCTGCTCTGCCACAGGCCCCCTCCTTCCCACAGAAGGTCCCAGGGGTAAAGGCGCATGGAAGGCTACAAGCTGAGGACCCCGGGTGCCAGAATTGTGCCAGGGTGGGGAAAGGTGAAGAGGAACACAGAGACCAGGAGGCAGGGAGGCCTCGTGGACATGCTGCTCCCTGTCTTGCATTCCCAGCCAAGCCCGTGGGCCTAGAGAGGTTCCCTCTGGCCTTTGCCCCACCATCATCATCCTTCCCAGGAGGATGGGAGTGGGGATGAGGAGAGGACTCCCCAATTTGCCCTGTCAGCCACCTGCCTGGCCTGATCCCTCCCCTGCACCTGGAGGAGTGCGGGGGCCCAGACCCGCTAGGGGCTGTCCGCAGCACTGATGCCTGAGCCTGAGCCGGCAAGCCAGGGAGGGCCCAGGTCCGCTCAGAGATGACAATGCAATATTTGAATCCCAGGGGCGGGGGTGGTAAATGCCCAAAGCGGGAGGTGATGCGCACTTGGGGTGGGAAGTACTGGCCTTGTACAGAGCGCGGGAGACCCTCATGGTCCGCGGGTTCTGCGTAGACAAAGGGCAGTTTGCATGGAGGCGGTGAGCACCAAGGGTTGATATTTTTGGGCCTCTGAGCTCCCCCCCACCCCCACCCCGGGAAGAGGGTGGGACTCATGCTCCTCCTTTGGGGAGGATGGCCTGGGGGCGCTGCGGGCTCGGGAGGGACGCCGTGCCCGGCCTGAGGGCTGCGTCTGGTGGGGCAGGGCGGCCGCCAGGCCCCCACTTACCCCTCGTGTCCCTTGCAGAGGAAGAAGAGCGTGCGCCAGGCGTGCGCGGCGGCGAGCAGCAGCGAGAGGAGGCTGGCGAGCAGGCTGAAGCGGCAGGCGGCCGGCGGGCCCCACTCCTGCACCGTGAAGCGCTCGCGCTCCTGCACCGTCAGGTTGGCGCTCAGCCACATGCCCTCGGTGAAGAGCAGGCAGCGGCCGCGGAAGTCGTGGCCGTTCTCGGACAGCGGCACCACCACCACGAAGCTGAAGAGGAAGGCCAGGAAGTAGCAGACGCACTGCGCGAAGAGGAAATTGTTGAGCGCCATGGCTGGCCCGGACGCGCCGAGGAAGCGGCCGGCGGAGGC